GGCTCCAAAGGAAGGAAGGTTTAGGGAATAGTTTAGCCTAACAGCAGATTCGTAAGAGAATTGAGGTATCTAGATTTTCAATCTGTTATTTCTGACCACCTCAGGAAATAACAATAGCTGCCCACAAAAAGGGCACATCTATTCTATGACCTAAGAGAAAGGGTTAGAAATTTTTTTAAAATACATGAATAGTTATAGGACCAAACTGTGAACAGTCTGCGGGTGGGGTGGGTACGACTTCAGATCCACACCCTAGAAAGGATCCTGCTGGGGCCAAGCCTGCAGGCGGCTAGAAGGATGGAGGTAGTTCGGGAGACTTTCCCTAACCCCAGGGTTAGTGAGAGGTGGTACTCCCTGCCTTCTGGACCCAGGGTCCTCCCCTGAACTCATGACCTTGAGACTATATAGTCATGAGACTATAAAGCTCAGAGAATTATCCTCATTAAAAAGCTATGAATTTACAAGCAGGCAAAGGAAGTGAGGTCATCTTGAGAAGTTTTTATGATTGTTGCCAAAACTAACATGACCTTTAACTTTTTATCACTTTTATAGGACAATGGAAGACTCTAAGCTGAGCATGAAAGGTAAAAAAATTTCTTTCATTGTTTGAATCTTAAAAAAAAAATCAGCATATTTATCCATTCTGTAGTATTCATAATCTTAGCGTACTCCCAAATGTCCAGTGTTTAATTTTTCTTTTACTCCCCAGTGGCCAGGAATTTATAATTAACAAATTAGGTAATACAGAACAAAGTGAGCTCTCAATATTATCCTCAACAATATAGATGAAAGCTCTTCACAAGCAATAGATAAAAATAATCATTAATATTATTATATCTCTATTAAGTAACAGAATCTGTTTACTAAATTCCTAGGAAATTACAAGGAAATGGTTTCATGCAAGTTCCCGAACTACATTGAACCCTACTGTGAACACTATATATGAACACTACTGTCCCATGAGATTTTAATTGTGTGTTATGAATAATGTGTTCTATGGCCAGATGTGGCTGGGAAGAGCATGTACCCTTATCCTCTTTGTTGAAGAGCCGTCTTGTGTTTCAGTCTGTTAAAGATGGAACAAGTGCTGGGTAAGAGAAAAGAGACAAGAAAGAGAAAGAAGTAACAACAAAAGTTCTACTTTGTTTAACCCAGTGTCCCCGAATATCTTTGACCTGGGAGCTCTATTTTCTCAGATTACCTTTCCCATCTCACAGAAAAATTCCAAGACATCAGCCTAGGACAAGTGGCACGTTCTGATTCATTTGTGGTAAAAATGTCCTAAGGCATTAGAGATTCAGAGAATCAGAGTTCGAGTAACCATCACAGAACAGCTGGTCTAACTGCGACCCCTCTGCAAGGTCCCAACAGATGGTCCTTCCACCTCTTCTCACCCAAGTCCAGAGATGGGGAACCCATTACTTGATGAGGTGGCCCAATCGACTGTTGGAGAGGTTTGATTTGAACAAAGTTCTCCCTGTATCTCTGTTAACAGTTTCAATTCTTCCCTCTGGTTTAGAATCAATTTGTTGAGGTCAACAAAGCCCTTACTCAAATAAATCGTGTCTTTGAAAAGTGTGACCATAATAAACATCCCTGGCTTCTTGCCCATCCCTCACATGGCATGCTTTCTAGATCTTGAAATTAGGTGCCCAGAATG